AAAGAGTGTCTTGCATCTTAATCTGTAAAATTATAAAAATCTGTTCTTCTTTGTCTCCATCCGTGTCACTCCTGAGAACTTACATGCAGTAAATTGCCAACTGAAATCTCTCAAAATCTCAAGATTGGCTTTAAAAAATCAGGAGATAGAGGAGGGGGGAAACATATAATGAGTTGGGTTATTTTAATTTTTTTTCTCTGTGTTTTTTTTAAGCCTTTGGAGAGCCTTCAATCACATTCTCAAGATTTTTATTCCTCCTCAACTGTGAGGTTTAGAAAATTACTTTAATTAAGAAAAAATTAAAATACTACTCATATTTTGAGATATTCACAGCTGTTAAGGGCTGGAGTCTTGAGAATTAGTTAAGACTTGCAACTAAAACCACAGAAGTTGCCAAGACAGCAATTATCAAGAATCACATCCCATTATGGCCCAGCCTCTAGTTTGTCTCTTCCCTTTAGGAATAGGTGTTGTACTAACTCCTCAAGGGTACACTGGGATTCCCAGCTGAGCTGGTTGCCAGAGAACTTCCTGCAGGAGCTGGTGGGATTTGGAGGCACAGAGCTATAAGAAAGACCTGACAGCCCCCAGGACGTAGGGCTGTGTCCTGTTCCCAACTGCAGTTAGCACCAGGGATCCCATTGACCTCAGCAGAGTAGAAGTGGGGCCCAACGTGAGAAAAGGCTCTTTGCTTCTTGGGACTGTGCTTTGTACAAAGTGCCACAGGAAGGCAGATACGGCAAGGAAGCAAGTGTCAGTGTGATTTTCACTAAAAAACAGCATTTCTTTTTGTTATTTTAGATCATCTGTTTACTTGCTAACTCTGTAAGTGGAGAGTACATTCTGTGCTGTATGACTATGGACTAAGCAGTATTGAGTTCCCATAAATATTAGCAGAAACAAATTTGAAGCAAAAGTAAGTTCATTTAGGCTTCTTTTTTTTTTTTCAAATTAAGTTATTTATTTGTATATTTCAATAAATATTTAATTTATATCTGTACATATTTATGATGCAAATTAGGCTTCTAGTCAACATTTGCAATGATGTAACAATTGCCATTAAGAAGTGGTCCCGCCATCAACTAACACAGAGTCATTGGCAAAAGTTCAGCAATAGCCAAATCACTTGTCTGATTTAACCAATATTGGCATTGTATCTTCCACCCCTACATCCCATGAAAAAAAAAAAAAAAAAAAAAAAACCAAAAATCCTTGGCAAGGACAGGTTTTAATCCATGCAAGATTAAGAC